AATTCTGTAAGGTTGTGGGTATAGGGTGAGAGCAAGATCCGAGTGATTTTGTTTAGATCTAGGACTCCGAGTTATTTGTGCTGAACTGTTGACGCCACAACCAATAGTTTTGTAGACAGGAAACGTGACATAGAAAATTGATCCGTAACATAAACTTGAGCTTTCCGCCCCCATTCGTTGGAGTTCAGATACTCATAACTTCTCCGTTGGTTTGTTTCTTCAGTTTACGGTTTTTTTCTTTTCTTTCAACGTTCTTAGATAATTTATAATCCCCTAATCTCATTCTATGCTGATCAATATATAGTTGCTTATATCTAAATATTGTAAAAACAAAACTTAAAATATGTGATATACAAGATGCCAACAAAGAACCCCAAAAAACTAAATACATGACCTTTCGTCACTATATTCTGCTCTGTGTTTTCACGTTTTTTGTCTTGATCAATTAAATCCAAGGAGATGACCAAAAATATATATCCGCATTTTCACTTCAAAAATTAAAGCATTATAATTTATAAACCTAGGATATTTATTTTTCTTATCATTAATTTAATTATTACCCTAACTAATAATGTATATTTCCCGAAAAATAGAAAAGGAAAAAAAACAAGAACCAATAGAAAGTTTCAAATTTAATTTATGACATATAAAAATCAATACAAACAAAGCACAAATGCATTCACTAATTATAAGTTAGTAAGCACTAAGTACAAGATTACAAATTTTCACAGAATTTTTGACAATGCACCACCCCACTAGAGTAAATAAAGGTCAAATGTCAAAAAGGCTGTGAAAACCCAAATCTCTGCTTCCTAATTAATACAACGTAATTAAAACATTAATACCCACTAAAAAAATACTCGGGTTAATTAATCATAATTCCTATTATCCCTAATTAAGTACCCCCCCCAACACACACACCCACTAGTGCCCTAATTATTATTATTATTATTATTATTATTATTATTATAAAATTAAAGATGCAAGGATTTTTTCATATAGCACAAAACCAGTCAGCAGGAGGAGTGTAATGAAGGGCGGCACGTGCAATGCAACCGCCACCTAGTAGTCACGTGACATCATCCACTTTCCATGCAAGTTGTGTGACCCGGATCCGGATCCGGACCCGGCCGAGTTATAAACCCCGTTCCAGATCTCCGTAAAAGCTCTGACGATAATGCCATGGTAGTACGGCGAGTTGAGCTGCAAGAAACAGTTGAGCAGCTCTTTCAGATCGTCCTTCGCGTATATCTCCTTCTCCAGAATCATCTGCAGCATCGACTGCCGGAAGTCCAGATACGGGTCGTCGGAGTCCTTCTCCACCGCCACGCTCGACCCGCCGATCCTCCCGAATCCCTGCACCGCCTTCAGGCTCCTCACGTCGGAGTCCGTGTCCGATGAGTCCCCGCAGCCGCCCTGCGGAGTCTCCACGGCGGAGGAGAACGTGGTGGTCGTCGTGTCCCAGGAGTAGGCGCTGGAGGACGAGTAGTGGCGGTGGCTCGGCTGCTTCTTCCGTCCCCCGCCGCCTCCCGCCGCCCTCGGCCGCGGGTTGAACACGGCGGAGATTTTCGGCCTCCGGCAGCTGCTGCTGCACCCCACGCTCACCGCGTTCAGAATGTACTTCTTCTTGCTGCTAATTGACATTGTAATTTACACGCTCAGTGTGTGAGAATTTTTATTTATTTTTTTTAATTTTTTTTTTCTCAGTTAAAAAAAAGTGGTGTGTGAATTGTGATGCATTGGAGTTGGGGAATGATGAAAATGATTATGATTCTGTTCTCATATATAAAACTCTGCATGTGAGCGCTCTTGTGGGACCCTCACCCCCCGCTAAACTCACCGCGTTTTGACTCACAGTCATGCACTAATGATGCGTAACAGGCGTGTGACGGTAAGCGTTGAAAGTCAACATCTTTATTATCTGCAAATTGGTATTAAGGAGGAGTGAATGGGGGAAGATATGAGTGTGTATTAAAGAAAAGGGTGTATTTAGTTATAATAGCTTAAAATAATAATAAGGTATAAAGAAGAAATATATATAATAATAATATAGGAAAAATTAATTAAAGGGAGGAAACCTGACATGACAGTAGGCATGATGATCTGGGGATCAATTAAGTAACAAATTAATATCAGCCACATGATTATAATCAACGCTTCAGATCTAATGCGCAGGACTAAGAAGCTTCACTTTGTCAGTATTTAATAAATTAATTTACAATTTACTTCAAGTTTTCTCTCTCCCTCTCTCTCTCTCTGTGCTTTGCTTTGTCTGTTTTACCCTTTGTCATGGAATGTGCAAGACTCGAGTAAATTATAGTTAAGTAGAGGATAAATTACAATAGTCCTAAAAAACTTAGGCTAAATAACGAAAAAAACTCGATCTTATATCTGCAGTTACGATGTTTGTTTGTATTTTACACTTACCCTATTGTAGTGTGATTTTTCAAGTTTTTTTTTTAATTACAAGGAATATTTTCGGAAAATATCAACTCTACCCATATAGATGACATTTCTTTATGTTAATTTATAAAGGCAAAAATTGCTCATAGGGATCTTCGCTCAAACACTTTAATTATTATTATTATTATTATTATTATTATTATTAATTAACACTTTCACAACTTTTTAGTATTATCATTACGCGTAAGAGGGTAATTTTTATCTTTAAAAAGTAGCATAAAAATGTCACATCTGCCACGGTAAAATTGATATTTTTTGAGAAATATTAAATCTAATAAAAAAGATTCTCTGAAAAATCATATCATACCGTATATGGTCGGTATTAGGGCTCGTAATTGAGTTGCACTCGTAAGCTCAATGAGTTTTTCGAACTCAAACTCGAGCTTTCTGACGAGTCGAGCTCGAGGTTTCTTTTGGTCACCCCTCTAACTTATGGTCGAATTACGAAAACCCCCTCATATTTGGATAATTACAACCACTCCCTCCTATGCGAATTACGGACACCGCCTGAGGTAAGGTCAAATTACGAAAACACCAATTATGTTTGGGTAATTACAACTACTCCCCACAACTATGAATCTTCTTACACTCTGACCCTTATGGTGTCAAATTCAACATAATCTTCTAGATTCCGTGGAATGTTCTCTAGTTTTATTTGTTTAGCGCAAAAAATGACGTTTCTAATGCACCACAATCTGATATTAGATGCCAAAAAACACATCTTATGATCATCTTGCTTCAAACTTGAGAATATTCCATAGAATTTAGAAGATTCTACTAAATTTGACACCGCAAAGGTGGACGTGTAAGAAGATTCATAGTTGAGGGGTGGTTGTAATTACCCGAATATGGGAAGGTTTTTCGTAATTTGACTTTACCTAAGGAGTGACTGTAATTTACCTTATTTTCTATTATATTTTATTCGAAATCTTTACAGTGATATTTACCTGGTAATATTTATGTCAAATTAGGTTATGTTCTTATGATGTTTTCTTTGAATGATTTAAGTTCAGTGGTTAGAATTTAATTAATAAATTACATCATAAAAGGATAAGATACCCACACATGAGACTAATTACATGGGATTTTAAAAATAATTTATACGTTAATGTTTTTGAAATTACAGTTTAAAATAATTAATTTAATAAAACTAAATCATTAATTTTTTTTTAATTATTCTTCTTAAGAAAATGGATTATTAGGGGGAAAAATCACAAATTAACGTAAATATTTGTCTTCTGTGTCCTAAGTATATTTTAATTTCTTGAAATGTGTTTCAATTTTAATAGTAGATGAAGACAAATTTTGGGTGAGAAGAGAAAATAGATTTTGGTCAAAATGTCAACCCCGAGTCTGCAGCTATAGTTCTCTTTGGTGGGAAAAGATATACGTTGGGATTTGAAATATTAATAACCAAAAAATTATAAAAAAAATGTAGTAAAAACTACTGCATGCAGGTGTTTTAATGCAATTCAATGATACAATTTAATATATGTACGTGTTCGAGTACACCACTTGCTCACCTATTCCAACACTTCAAATATTTGGATTAATTTTTTGATTCTCTCATTTGGGGAACGTGTCATTATCCGATTGGCTCTTGGCCCTATTGAGTATTGATTGTTCTTGCTTTTTTTTTTTTTTTTTTTTGCAATGTAGGGTTCCATCAAAATTATTGCCCCCAATAATAGATGAGCTTCGTTATGTTATTTCTACGGTACATTTGCTGAAGATTACGTTCGTGAATTTTCTATATTGATTTATACATAACAATATGCGTTTGTGTGTAAATATATGGTAAAGATTGATCGGTTGAATTTCACTCGATGTAGCGCATAGTTTAAATCCTGATAGGGTAAGAACATAGTGTAATTAACATGAAATATTTTTTCTTGTCAAAACTTTAGGTCGAGGTCAAACAAATAACTTGGCTAAGTGCGATTTTCACCCATATATCTTGACATTTGCGTACTATTAACTGAGACAAAAGTTTACTTAGTTCATATATATAGTTGCGGGTTCTTTTGACCAAAAAAAAAAGGTTTTTTTTAATGAAAATATAACTAAATTATGAACTATCGTAGATATTTCTCCAAATTAAAAACTCCATAAGTAATTAACCGTCGAAATTGATTTTTGTTGTAAAAAATTTTTGGCCGAGCTTAAACAAATTACTTGGTTAAGTGTGTTTTTCACCTATATATTGTGAGATTCAAATATAATTGACTGAGACAAAAGTTTATCTAAATATCTTATGATTTATTTTTAAACATTATAAAGTAAAAATTGAATAAATTGATGGCCAATAATACAACTAACTGACCCATTGTTTACCCAAAGCCAAACCCGATAAAGTCTGACAAAGTCGCCATCTATTATTCGACGTCAGGGGCAAATCCAGGATGAAAAGTTAGGGGGGTGGGTTAAATTATCGGGGTTCGGAGCAGCGGACCGAAAAAAAATTAGGTTCACAAAACACTACAAATAGAACTTTATATTGTTAAATTTTAATTCAAATAGTACATATTATAATCTTGTCATATTTCAAGCATAAAAAAAAAACTAATTAATCCAAATCATTCTAATAATGTATTGCATTTAATTATTTAAGTAGTTCAAAACACCGTTCCATTTTATTTTTTAAAGGTATTAATAAAAGAACAAAAAATAAATACATAATTATAATTTTTTTTATTAAAAATAGTACTAGTTATTTTCATCATTTTATTTTATATTATTATATTAAATATAATATATATGTATATATATATGTGTGTATATATAATTTATATAAAATTATGGTGACAAAACAAAATATTGAAGGATTAAAAAATATATTTACAAAACAATTATGGGGAGACTAATATTCAAAAAAAATAACTACAAAATAGCTAAAAAGAATTTCTTTTTTTTCTTGGGGGGGGGGGGGGGGGCTACAGCTCCCGCCTGCCCCTTCAAAGACCGCCACTGTTCGACGCATTTTGGTTGGGCCGGTAATGATTTTCAATATTCGGCAAAATCGAGTGGTCAAATTTGATAGATAATTAACCGATAATTACTCGACCCGATCCATGTACAGCACTACCTCTTTTCTATCAACATAGATACCTTAATTTAGAAATTTGAAAATTTTCGTGGTGAAATAGAAAATATCCTGAGAAAACATTATTGTATTTATAAATGAAACTGAGTAAATATGGATGAAATAGTTTTTGATGATTAATAAGATTGAATAAATGTTGTGGCAAATAAAATAAATAAATAAATAAATAAATATTACAGGTGATGTGACGTATAGCTGCTTCAGCATATGTAATAATAGCTCAGCTCATAGTGCAATATATGTTTGCTCATTTACTTATATACCCTGCGCCTCTCAAGTCAACTTAAAACCACTGCACTCGAGCACTCTTCGCAGCTCGCAGGTACACATTGTAATTACTCCCATCCCACTCACCCCATCTCTTGCATTTTTTCTTATTATTTTTAAATATTTTTTTAATAAAGATTAATTAAATATTCTTTGACAAATGGTAATAACTAATAAATTAATAATGTATATGGTTTTATCAGCCATCATGTTATATTTACTATAAATAGATTTTTCTGCAGTGAATTAATTAGTGGAGTAAGACGGTGAGGTGGCGTTAGTTGATCCCGTTCGAACTCTTTTGCTGACACGTCACATATTGTTAATCTAGTGTAGTTTACGTACATCTCTTGTGTTATTTCGAATACTTTTTATATATAAAAAAAAGCTACATTAAATGAAATAGTAATCAAGCTTTAAGTTTTGTATTGAATTTTTTAAATTAACTAAAGGGAAAATTAGCTAATAGTCACTACTTAAAGACATTAAATAGAGATACGAACGGAAACGTGTTTCGCTTGTTTAAAAATTGCTCGTAAAATAATTTCATTTCATACAAATATGTTACACGCTATTAATTACCATGTTTTCAAACACGTCTTACCTATGGTTCGAACAATGACTTTACGGTGTTGTTTGCATCATTTAAGATTTTCTCGATTAAAAAATGACAAAAATACGGATTTGTGCATCTTTCTTTATTAATGTTGCTAATGGGTTTTGTCTGCTTGGGCCGAAATTATCCCCGACACGGGTGCACTCAGTTGTAAGTCATTGTGCGCAGGCAATCAACTTCAAGCCAAAATTTGGCCTTCTTTCAGTTCGAATTTCAGAAAACTCTTAATATGAAATTATAAATGGGTGTATACATATGAATTGGCTTTCCAATGCCTCTTGA